CCCCAGGAAGAGTAGCTGCTGCCTTTGCAGGAACTAATGGGGATCCATAATAAACCCCAGGAAGAGTAGCTGCTGCCTTTGCAGGAACTAATGGGGATCCATAATAAACCCCAGGAAGAGTAGCTGCTGCCTTGGCAGGAACTAATGGGGATCCATAATAAACCCCAGGAAGAGTAGCTGCTGCCTTGGCAGGAACTAATGGGGATCCATAATAAACCCCAGGAAGAGTAGCTGCTGCCTTGGCAGGAACTAATGGGGATCCATAATAAACCCCAGGAAGAGTAGCTGCTGCCTTGGCAGGAACTAATGGGGATCCATAATAAACCCCAGGAAGAGTAGCTGCTCCCTTGGCAGGAACTAATGGGGATCCATAATAAACCCCAGGAAGAGTAGCTGCTCCCTTGGCAGGAACTAATGGGCATCCATAATAAACCCCAGGAAGAGTAGCTGCTCCCTTGGCAGATCCATAATAAATACAAATACAGTGCATTGAAATGCTTATTTGCAGGTTCACCTGTCGTCAATACAACAACAATAGGAAAAGTAATTCAGTGAATACAAAGAGTAATACAAAATAAGAAGCACAATGAATAAAAATAGGAGAAACACTTCTCTACAATACAATACAATCAAATGAATTGAAGTAGGATGTTTACACAAGCATGGGGGTTGTGCAATAGATTGTGCAATAATGCATAAACAGAGATAGCACTATAACAGAATACTGTGATGTCTCATTGGAAAATTTGATTTGCGACAAACTCAGTCCTGGGGCCCCCGCTGGGTGCATGTTTTGGTTTTTGCCCTAGCACTACACAGCTGATTCAAATAATTAAAGCTTGAGGATGATTTGGTTATTTGAATCAGCTGTGTAGTACTAGGGCAAAAAACAAAAAACGTGCACCCGGGGGGGCTCAGGACCCAGTTTGGAAACCCTGGCCTACTTGGCATACAAACATAGACATTGCAAGACATAAAGGCAAGACAGACTAAATACCACCACAGTTCACCTGTACACATCTATACTCTTATTACTCTTGTATGTATTAATAGTGAAATAAAGTCTCCCTTGCTTCAATGAGCAACACTCACCGGTCCAGTGTCTGGGGGTAAGAAGGCAGACAATTCAGACAGGGTCGTAGGTCAAAACAGCGTTTAAATCTCTGATGAATGAAAGCCTCTGTTCTCCAAAACTTCCTATAGAACCAACCAGGACCAATCAGCATAACACACCAAGGTGCAACCGACGATCAGGCTACTTGTTATTGGGAGTGTGTGTGTGTGTGTCCACTCTAAACTTGTGTGTGTCATGACATTCTATGACCTGACATTCTATGACCTGTAAATTACATCAGTGTTTTGTTATGGATGATAAAAAGCAACATGAAACTTGACCTCACCTGCCGTGCCATGAACTTGGAGAAGCGGAGAAGAGAAACATACACTTACTTCTCATTTAGCTAATTAACCCATAAGACTAAACACCCCCCCAACAACCACCAGGCTGTCTACCCCTCAACAACCACCAGGCTGTCTACCCCCCAACAAACCACCAGGCTGTCTACCCCTCAAAAACCACCAGGCTGGTCTAACCCTCAACACCACCAGGCTGTCTACCCCTCCAACAACCAGCCAGGCTGTCTACCCCCCAACAACCACCAGGCTGTCTACCCCTCAACAACCACCAGGCTGTCTACCCCCCAACAACCACCAGGCTGTCTACCCCTCAACAACCACCAGGCTGTCTACCCCCCAACAACCACCAGGCTGTCTACCCCCAACAACCACCAGGCTGTCTACCCCCCAACAACCACCAGGCTGCTACACCCCCCAACAACCACCAGGCTGTCTACCCCTCAACAACCACCAGGCTGTCTACCCTCAACAACCACCAGGGCTGTCTACCCCCCAACAACCACCAGGCTGTCTACCCCTCAACAACCACCAGGCTGTCTACCCCACCAACAACCACCAGGCTGTATACCCCTCAACAACCACCAGCTGTCTACCACTCAACAACACCAGGCTGTCTAACCACCACAACAACCACCAGGCTGTCTACCCCTCAACAACCACCAGGCTGTCTACCCCTCAACAACGACCAGGCTGTCACCCCCCAACAACCACAGGCTGTCTACCCTCAACAACACCAGGGTCATGCCAACGCCCACCACCCACACCACTACCATCACCACACACCAACCACCACACGACACCAGCACCAACCACCGCACACCACACCACCACACCACAGCACACCACCACACCATCACACGACACCACCACCACCACCACCACAACACCACCACACCCCCACCCACCACACCACACCGACCCCACCACCACCACCACAACACCAACCACCCACCACCACCACCACCAACACCCCACAAACACCACAACACCACCCCACTCCACACCACCCCACCACCACCACCCATCACCACCCACACACCACCACCACCACCCACCCACCACACACCACACCAACACAACCACCACCACCCCACACATCACCACCACCAGCAACCGCCCACCCACCGACCACACACCACCACCACCACACCACCACCACCACATCATCACACACCACACCACCATCATCACCACACCACCACCACCCACACCACCCCCCACATCACTACCACCCGACCACACACCACCACCACCACCCACCACCACCACCACCACATTACTACCACCACCATCACACCACCCATCACCACCACCACCACCACCAATCATACACCACCAACCTACCACCATCACCCACCACCACACCACCATCACTACCCCACCCCCACACCACCATCATCACCACCACCACCACCATCACACCACCACCACCATCCACCACCTACCAACACACCACCACCACCACCACATCACACCACCCACCGACCACCCCCACCACACCACCACCACCACCATCACTCACCCCACCATCATTCTACCACCACCCATCATCACTACACCACCACCACCACACCCACCATCATCACCACCACCACCACCATCATCACTACCACCACTACACCACATCCCAACCACCACCCCACCACCACACCATCATCACTACCACCAAACCCACCTCATCCCAACCAACCCCATCACTCACCACCCTCAACACCACCAACTACCCCCACCACCACCACCATCACTACCACCACCACCACCACCACCCCATCACCTTTCCTCTCCTCTTTTTAGCGTCTTCCCTTCTCTGGGATGGAGCTAGGTGAAAGTTGTCACGTTAAAGGAAGAAGTGGGTTAACATTAAACACGGACGGCTGAGATTCAGTGTGTGTGTGTGTGTGTGTGTGTGTGTTTTTGTGTGTGTTATTCAGCCAGTCATCTGCATAGAGGGATCATACCAGACCAGAGCTGATTCTGACTGAGCTGTGGAGTCAAAGTAGTCCAGACACTCCAGGGTTAACACCAAGCACAATCAGCTGGCCTGAGAGTCACTGTGTGGGACAATATTCAGCCATCCGTGTCTATCTGCATAGAGAGACCATAGTAGGACAGGCGCACACACACACACACACACATACAAGCACACACATACACACACACCCACATAAGCACACACACACACACATCACTGCTATGGTGGTGAAGTCAAAGTAGTTCAAAGACACTCCCGGGCAATTCAGGCCCATATTTTAGGTTAAGTGATGCTATTAAGTATGTGAAGAACAGGACTGGGGCTTACATAACATCCACTGGTTAAAACACATTAAAGTTGATGAGATGGAAGTGTCTGAGGCCCAGGGATGTAGGCTACATGCTCTCTGAGGGCTGTTGAGTTCAGGCTAGTTAGTGGGAGATTCACATCTCACTGCTAAGCAGGACACAGACAGACACAGAACCATCCCAGGTCAGACTTCAAACCCCAGTCAAGACTGCTTGATGGTTGACCTCTAAAACCATGTAGTTACTTTGAAATGGCTCTCCAGTTCTACTAACCTATAGGGAGGGGGAGATATGATGATGTGTACCACCATGCTCTCAACATGTGATAGCTATTAAGACGCCATAACCCATCATGTAGCCTTACGTCACCCTGTCATATGGTCAACGTTTGAAGATCATCCAAAACAACACATTCCACATCCGTCTATTCCCTCCAAGGCCTTGAATTGCAACATATCAGAGGTATTGAAAGATAAGTAGATTCCATTGTTCAGGGGAAAAGTCACTAGTACAGAAAATATTCAGAAGACACATTTCATTTGAGATTTCCTCAGGAAGAGTTAATACTGTCTGATGTACACGCCTTCTGTTTTGGCACTCAGACCCTCTTCCCAAACCCTACAGGCAAGGACTTCACCAAACGGTGCTTAGGGCTGAGTCTCGACTACAAGTCAGAACCCACAACCCCAAACTCATGCATACCACACTCACTCTCGAACAGTAATGTTTTCACATCACTAGCAGTAACAGAGGCTAAAAATGGAAGTGAGGAATCCAATAAAATTATTAATGACAGGAATTTGATATGGTCCTGCCTTTAAAAAAAAAAATCTAGTCTGAAATCTATAAATTACCCACAGGAGAAAAGCTGCATCCCAAATGGCACCCTATTCCCTTTATAGTGCACTACTTTGGACCAGAGCCCTGACACTTTAAAGGGAGTAGGGAGTTATTTGAGATGCTGCCAAGCTGTCTGAACTTTATTCAGATTTCAGAGGGCCACCCAGAGGCTTGAGCATGGTGAGGGGGAGAGGAATATTACATATATATTGGGTTTATGCTTCATTACATTTCATATTAGTTCCCTTGAATATTCCCCCAGCTGTGGTTGCAATATTTTTTTTAAATGAAAGTTTAGCATAGAAATGACTTGTTGGGTATGGACGGGCATAGACTTAGGATGAATCAGTTTATGAGAATTGTTAATAACAAGTGAACCTGTTCTATCAGATAAAATTATCATTATCCTACGATAGCTTGGCAAGAGTTTGTCCAGTACTGGCATCTAAAGAGAGACAGACTAGTGTTAACATGTTTTACTCAGTTACTGTACCTTCAAGTAGGTTTTAATTCACTTGTTCATCTGATAAACAACTCATGAGGTGCCATCCCCCTCTAGTGGCAATGCTGTGCAAGCGGAGGTTCTTCTACGTTCACACAACTCAATTCACTTCATCATTCAATGTGATTCTACCTCCAATCCACTGTGAAGAATTAACAAAGCATTTTTTTATTAACGACATGACTGCCACATCAGGCAACGAATCGGCAAACTGATCACAATACTGTGGCAGTATCCTACATGTACACAAGAGGCCATACTGTGTACACAACACAATACTAATTACAATACTGTCCACACAGTAGTACATACAGAATCTGAGACTAACTCCAGTCTAAGGGTCACATTTCATGACCTCTCTGAGGCAGACGGTGGCGTAGCAGGAAGAGTCCAGGTCAAAGTTCAACGTCAAGCTGGGTGTGTCTGTGTCGGGGTACTGCACCGCTGACTTCCCCTCTCCATTCCCCTGCACGCTCTCCCCTCCTTTCTGCCTCTCCAGACCTGCAGGCCTGGTTGTGTCTGCGCCAGGGTGCTGTGGTACCGCTCCACTAGCCTGTGGGGACTTTCCATTACTCTCCTGTTGCCTCTCCCCAGCTCTCTGGCCCTGCTCCAGCCTATAGGTGAGGTTACGTGGGATGGCCAGTAGGGGGCGGTAGCAGCCAGGGAGGTTCAGTTTGAGAGGAGTGACTCTGAAACGACAGCTCTGTAGTCCGTCCCTCGCCAGTCTCTCCTGGTACCATCCCCCTACAGGGTTCTCTGGGTACTTCACACTGCTGCCAAGCATGGGAAGAACCACCTGATGGAAGAACACAGCAGAAGTTAACAATTAATTCAATAGAATAATATTACATTTGATTTGTGTAGTGCTTTGTTTTGGTTTGTGGATGTAGGTTTCACAGGGCTTGGTATTTAAACTTGGCGACGTACTCAGACAACACACCCATGTTTGCTTGTAGATTAATAGTTAGAATGGTACAAGGTACTGTAGAACAGGGGAGTGGACAGGTGTGTGTGTGTGTGTGTCTCTGTGTGTGTGTGTACATACCTGTCCTAGTGAGTAGACTTCCTCCTCCTCCTCTGCAGCCGTAACAACATGAATCTGGGAGAGTAGAGAGGGCAAAGGTCCATCTCAGTACCATCTTTATGACTGGTTCAATCTCAGTGAGAGAGTATCACTGGGTGTCAACGATAGAGCCTAGTGGCTAACTCTCTAGCTCCGATTGAAAATGATTTTCACAAGTGACTTTGACTCTTTATTTGACTCTGTTATTAAGTCACCCTGTAACTGAACTACCTGAGGTAAGCTGGGTTCTCCCATCTCTATCCCCTCCTCTCCCCTCTGCTTCCAGACCAGATCTCCCTGCCTGGCCCTGTGGCCCAGCGTGGTCAGCCTGTGTGCAGCCGCCTCGTTCCAGACCCGGCTGAAATCAAATCAATCTTTATTGATATAGTATACTTCAAACAAATTGAGTGAAGAGGAAGAAGGAAATGAAAATGAAAGATATAACCATAAAGAATGAATAAGGATTCAGAAGAATTAATTAACCAATAAAACAGATGATATAAATTCCCCACCTACAGTACGCGTGGGGGTAGAAGACCCTCATCCCATGGGGCAGGCTGAGCCAGGCACGAGTACAGCCCTCTGGGCCCGTCCCATAGCGATGTAGGGCCCTCAGCATCAGCCTCTCTCTGGCCTTGGACATGGGCATCAGAGACAGGGCCTCCTTAGCATTATCTGAGGAGATGAGGGAGGAGAGGGGTGGAGGAACAGGGTTAGAATGGAGCAGGGTAGAGTAGAATAGCGTAGAGTAGAGTAGAAAATAAAATAAATGTATTGTTCATCTGAAAAAGGTTGGGTCCATAAAAACAGAGAACATGGTAAACAGGAAATGATGACTAGTGTAAACAGGAATTTCTCACCAGTCTGGAGGAAGTGTCTCTTGGCAACGCTCTGAGGGTCATCACCCTCTTCTGGTGTGAAGAACAGATGGACAGCTGCCACCTGAGACACATGAAACACAACCCACACCACAAGTCAGACAGAACAAATATAAAACACTGACATCCACTGTTTCAGTTTCTTGTAATATAGAACACAGAAGATGTACCATTTCCTCTTTGAGCAGGGCCAGTCCGACGCTGTCAGATTGAACACTCTGTCCAGTCCCAAACCTCTGAGGTCCATAGTAGTTCACAAACCCCCTGACCTGAAAGGATTGACATGTAATATCTACTCACTACAGATCAGAGAACGACACTCCTCCATTACTCACAGTGCAGTGGAAATGACTATCAAATGACTATCAAAGTGCACCGAGCAATCTACATTTGTATCCAAATTTGGGTCTGGGGGCCAACAGGGTCTGGTGTGCATGCTTTCGATTCAGCCAATCATGCTCTTGGTGATTAGGTTGATTAGTTAAATTGAGTGTTTCAGTGCTGGGCTGGACAAAACCCTGCACACCCTGTATCTCTCCAGGACCAGGGTTGAATGGAGACCACAGAATAAAAAAGGTTCCATCTCTAGGAGTGTCTCACCTTGACGTTCTCCACAGCCTCCTGCACCAGTGAGTCCAGCTCCATCAGTGTGTCATGACCCTGGTGTGGTCTGAGATCCCGTACCACCAGGTCAAAGTGGTTCCCCTGGAGTCTACCCAGATGAAGAGGCTCAGGGACGGAGCGGACGGAGGAGAGGACCATCCCCCTCTTCTCAAACTCACTGGCCTTCTCTCTCAGCCTGACAACACACATCCCTCCCATCAGCACTAGTCTGTCCGGTCCCCATAATGAGGACAGGATATGCATCAGTGGACAGTGAACTCACTGGGCTAGCATTTTAGAAATGCATGAATGTGGTGGTGTTGGATGAGTTGAGTTTTCCCCCAATAGAATGTAGCACTTTGTGAATATCCTTCATCATCATCATTATCATCAAACCATAGCCAAGGATAGCCTGGTGGTCCAGTCTGTTAGTGCTTTAGTCAACTCTCTGTTTGTTGTCTAGGGGAGTTGGCCACAGCGCATAGGCTAAGCCAAGGACTTTGAATGGAAACAGCAACACATTCTATCTAACAACTGTACTGTATCTACCGTTGTGGTGAGATCTTCTTGACCACCATGGACTGGTAGGTGACGGCCCTCTTGTCCTTGATGCCAGCGTAGGTGAAGTCCGAGGGCAGCACCCCCAGGACAGCTGCCATGTAGCTGGTAGCCTCCAGAGTCTCCAGGTTCTCCTTCCTCAGAGTGAACGCTGCAGGGGGAGGAAACCCATGCCAATATTATCCACACTAACTTCCTAGAATACATGCCCAACACATTGCTTAATTCTAAGTAGTATACAAGTATGGCCATGGGAATAGAGTGTTATGAGTGGGATGAGGTTGGCCTTGGACATTGATTTAAGGTCAGTTTTGTGGTGTCCATGTTCAGGTAAATCAAAGGATACGTTTATTTGTCACGTACACAGTTTAAAGCAGGTATAAACAGTGCAGCGAAATGCTTACTTGGGCTAATAACATTCTTCTTGCTGTACATACAGTATCATAAGAGCAAAACATATCAAGTAGGAGAGAGAAATAGGAGAGAAACGTAGTCCATGAAGTTCTCTATAGAGCTCTCACCTGTATAGACCTCTTCCCCTTTACTATCATCAGCCATTCTCTTCCTGGGTTTCCCTTTTCCTCTCAACCTCACCGTAATGGCTGTAGTCTTCTGCTGCTGGTCACTGAAGCTCTTGGTCTCCACCAGTTTACCAAACCGTCTACTGAGGAAGTGGTGCACTGCCGTCCTGTGCTCCTTACTGTCGTCACCCCTGAACGTGTACACAGAGTTAGGCATCTTGGTGTCGATGAACCTGAAAAAGTCTTCGGCCTCCTCCTCTGAGACCAAACCTGACAGAAGCTTAAAGTCAGGGTCCTCCTTAACCCTGATCTCTGATCGGTTGGTTACTGTCAACAGGAAGGGGAAGTTGTGTCGGACAGCGCGGTGGACGTTAGCTCTTTGGTGTTTGTCTGGGAATGAACCCAGGGATAACTCTTGATTGGCCATCTTCTTCTCACTGCCATTGGATGATTCTTGGTTGGCCAACTTCTTCTCAACGCCATCATTGGGACTTGATGACGCCTCTCTCAATAAAGCAGTGAACTGCTCTAGCTCTTCACAGACAGACTGACCCAGTATCAAGCTCAGGTCAAAACAGTCTTGGCTGGGGGTGGATGTGATGTCACCATTCTGACCCGGTCCAGGTTCTGAATCCACATCCTTTACAACCGGAGTACATTTCTCTTCTTTTAGGTTGTGTTGATGTTTTGGGCTAATAATATTTTTATTTCTTTCAGACTTGGCACCTGGGCATGCCTCAATAATGCTGGATGATTGAGGAACATCAGATACACTGGGTTTAGTGACCATCTGGCCATGGATGTCTATCTCTGTGACTATAAAGTCTCTGGTGGAGTTCTTGATGGTTCCATAGAACCCTTCATGTTCTGAGATGTAGCACTCAGGGACACTCGGTGCATCCTCCTTCATAGTCATGGTAGATAGACTGTCCTATTGCAAATAAAGGGATAAAAACGATATTATTATGTAAAATCAATGAATTGATCATCAGAAGCCATGTATTAAGCCAGAGAACGGTCTTACCAGTTATGCAATGTGTCGAGTGAAGTGCCAGTGCTACAAATGTTTCATTTGCTAAATGAATCAATGTCACACCACAACACACTGTAACATTGTAGCTATAGCTAGCTAGCTAACACGGATAGGATACATTACTGTTTACCAAGCTCAACCAACAGCGGAAAACATAGTATTTAAGCAATTTGTCATTTCACTTATATCATCTAATTATAAATTAATGCAATAATAAATCGTATGTCCTAAAGCGACAAAGTTCTACCAAGAAATGTCTCATAAACAAACACATGTGTAACTGTAACACGAGATTGTAGTTTTTCT